AGGAGGTTTCCTTTCTTTCTTAGGATAACATGCACCAAGGTTAACTTCACTTTGATCTAAGTTCCCATCTATGTCACAAGTCTCAGTTTTAATCTCCTGTGAGATAATTGTTCTCAAATCTGTTTTTGATTGCTCACTTTCAACTTTCTTCTTGAGTAAAATATTCTCATTTATGTCATCATCAGTCTGAGTGTCACATTCATTGGTACTTTTTGTGGTAAACTTTACCAGCCTATTCCTAAGTACTCTACCTGTGTCTGGATAAAAAACAAGATATGCAGGACTAATTTTGTCATAACCAACAAAAATTCCCTTTTCACAACGTGGATCCAACTTTTTCTTGTCATATTTATATGCATAACATTCAGATCCAAAAGTCGTCATTTTTGAAAGGTCAGGTTTCTTTCCGGTTAACATGTAATATGGAGTCTGCTCAACACGTCTATTGTAACATCTATTACGGATAATAGCAGCCGTCTGAACTGCATATGTCCATAAATCTTTAGGCAGTTTACTCTCAATTAACATGCATCTTGCCATTTCAAAGACAGTTCTCCATGTTCTCTCAGCTGTCCCATTCTAATGGAGAGAATAAGGGGTCTAATAGCATTTTGACTAAGCAATGATTGGAACTCTCTTGATATAAACTCAGTTCCATTATCTGATCTTATACATTGGATTTTCCCATAAGGTGCCAGATCTGCAATAAACTTCTCTGTCCCTTTAACAATATCACTCTTAGCTTTCAGAAAATAGGTAAAAATAGCACCTGACTAATCATCTGTAGAAGCATCTTTAGCAGCTGGTTCTATTAGTCCAGCCAGATCTGCATGTACAAGATCTAGTGCATCTTTAGTTTTTTTCATCAGGATCTCTACTCTTGGTCTGAGCAAATGTACCCTTTATGCATACTTCACATTTCAGATCAGGTTTTTCAGTTTTACCTATAATTTTCATTCCATCTGCAACACCCTCCAACTTTGACACATCATCATAGTTACCGTAACCTAAAATTTCATGCCACGTTTGGATGTCATAGCAGGCATCAACATCATCTGTAAGAGTATTTCAATAGAACAGTCTGTCATAACCATAAATATAAAAAGCCGTACCATTTTTATGGATGAGCCAGTTCTGTCCATCTTTGAAGATGACTGGCGCTCTTCAGGCAGTTGCAGCTTTAACCGAAAAGATGTCCTGGGAAAATGACGGCACGTATAAGATGTCCATTAACATCATCTCCACAATTCGGCCGTTGCTGTCTCTCAAGCAAACTCTGGCGGTGCCTTTCTTCAGTGCAATGCCACTGGCCCTCACGCCATCAGCCAACTCCAAAATATGGCTCTGAGGCTTAAAGTCGAGTCAAAATCCTTGAATTTTGCAGCGTCTGTCATGATGTGCTTTGTTGCACCCAAGTAGACCATGAGACCCTTCACCTTCGTGCCATAGATCTGGGCATTGTCGATCTGTTTCACCTTGAAAGCAAATGTATGATCCTCCTCATCCATTGCTCGCTTGAGCTTGTCTCGCCTTTTCTGCCGACAATTAAGTCCTTATACGTGGCGCTCTTGCAGAAACTATACCACTGTTTTGGCTCTCTGTGCTCGCCCGAGGTTGAAGGACAATCCAGGGCTTTGTGCCCTCTCTCGCCACAGTTGTAACAGGTGAGTTTTATACTCCAATTGTCTCTTCCTTTAACTTTCATCACGCTATCTTCAGCTGAGCCAGCAACACACAACTTCTCTGTGCTCTCATAGCTTCTCAGCTTCGTTTTAAATTGGGCAAAAATTAACTTTTCATCACTCTGTCTAACATAAACAGAGAATGGTTTGATCTCATCAGGCAGGCTTTTTAAAGTCACTGCTGTCAGCAGGCCACCACTTAAAACTTCTCCTGCATTACGCAACGCTGTAATTGCAGTTTCTGCTCGTATAATATAATCAGTGATGTTCTCATTGACGGCTTTCTGAAGAGACGTCAGTTCCGTATACAAACTGATCACTCGTGGCTTACTAGAACCAGCGTAGTGATCTCTCAGGATCTTTAAGGCTTTTCTGCCATCATCTGCAGCATCTCTCATGACAAGGGACAGACTCTTATCATCCAAAACTTGGATTAATTCTGCATATGCCTCTTCGTTCTTGGTGGCGTCTTCTTCCGCATCATCGGGTTCGTCTTTCAATAATATGGTGCTCTTCAGCTCAAGCAGACGTAAGTGGGCTAAGAACTTGGTTTCCCACAACTCATACTTCTTCTCATCTCCGTCAAAACATAATCGGTTCCATCGGCCGCCAAGCTCCTTCCTGGGCCCATAACCTGTTGATGCTGTCATCTTTAAAGGGCTGGAAATGCCGGGTAGTGAAGAAGGCGATCCATGGCGAGCCAGGAACTCTAACAACAGAACACCACTCAGGTTCAGATCAGAGGGGCCGCTCTTCCCAGGTCTCACTGTCATTGCCCATGTGAGCGTTAAAGTCCCCCAGCAGAACAAGGGAGTCTCCAGGAGGAGCACTTTCCAGTACCCCCTCCAAGGACTCCAAAAAAGGGTGGGTAATCTGAACTGTTGTTTGCCACATAAGCTCAAACAGTCAGAACTCATAGGCGGAGGGAGGCTACCTTCATTTTCAATGAGGTAAACCCCAATGTACAGGCACCCAAGATGGGAGGCAACAACTATGCTCACTTCTGCCCAGTGCCTCTCACCATGAGCAACTCCAGAGTGGAAGAATGCCCAACCCCTCTCAAGGAGACTGGCTCCAGAACCAGAACCATGTGTCGAGGTCAGACCGACTATTTCTAGCCAGAACCTCTCAACCTCACACTTGCTCAGGCTTCTTCCCCACCAGAGACGTGCCATTCCATGACCAGTGGCGCAAAAAGTGGGTATGCAGCGCATGCAACGCATAGGGGCGCAGCACCAGAGGGGGCGCCAAAACCCCGTCTGGAGGGTGCCGATTATGTTTTCCCATACACTTCAGCGCGCCTTACGCTCCTTCACCTCACGCACATAATGAGGTAAATCTAGCACGAGTTTCACACTTAACGTATCCTCGCCTCAGTGGGGGGGCGCGATTTATGTTTTCGCATCCACCTGAATAATGTGCAGTTGCGCCACTGTCCATGACCCAAGAGCCAGTTTCTGTAGCCGACGATCGGATCGCCAAGGTCCCTGCCCTCGGCCACCACCCATCACACACTGCACCTGATCCTTTCGGCCCTCCCACAGGTGGTGAGCCACTGGGAAGGGGGACCCACATCTCCTCTTCGGGCTGTGCCAGACTGGGGTCCATGGGTTAAAGTTTGGCCAGCAGGAGCTCGCCAACGTGGCCCACCGCCAGGCCTGGCTCCAGAGTGGGGCCCCAATTACCCATGTCTGGGCGAGGGAACATTGTTTCCAATGGTTTTGCTTGTCATAAGGAGTCTTCGGGCTGCGCTTTGTCTGGTTCCTTGCCTAGGACTTGTCTGGTTTGGGTGATAGGTCACCTAAGCCAGATAGGTCTTGGGTGCAAAATGGTATGCAGGGGGCATGAAGCCCCAAACAGCATAGCTCTTAGGATCACTGAGACACTCAAACCCCTCTACCATCATAAGGTGGCAGCCCATACATACACATTACCGTATTTTCTGCACTATAAGGCGCACCGGATTATAAGGCACACCTTCAATGAATGGCCTATTTTAAAACTTTTTTCATATACTGTATAAGGCGCACCGCATTATAAGCGCATAGAATAGACGCTACAGCAGAGGCTGGAGTTACGTTATGCATCCACTAGATGGAGCTGCACTCAAGGGAATGTCAACAAAACAGTCCGACTCCGGTCGGCAAGGAGAGCCTTCCGCGACTAGGCCGGGGCTTGGCCAGACGATGGTCACCCTTCTCCGTTCACGGACAGCATGTTCGTGGAGAACGTGGTGCTAAATGACCTCCAGACGACCTGATTCTAGACGGTCGGTAGGTAGATAGGTCAGTCAAACTTTATTAATAGATTACAAACCAGCTTTCTGACAACTATCCCAGCATGCACCACGCGCTTTTTCTTCTACGGACGAAAATGAAGTTGGCGGCTGCTTACTGTAGTTGCTAGACCTGTTGTGGGTCAATATTGGTCCATATATAAGGCGGACCGGATTATAAGGCGCACTGTTGGCTTTTGAGTTTAATTGAAGGTTTTTAGGTGCGCCTTATAGTGCGGAAAATACGGTACATAAATTCTTTATTTGTATAAGACAACAGTGCACATAGAAGGTTAGGTTAGATCATAGCAGCTTCCACAGGATTGTCATTTAGCTAAGAATATTTTATTGACTGTCTTTCTTCTTTCTAACAAACAAGTTTCATGCAATATTTAGGTGTGATTTTGACCCATTGTTCTACACAAATGGTCCTCAAATATTGGAAGTTCTGGAGGTCCTTTCTATGAACACTGACATTCAGCTCTTTTGATACTTTTTTTCTCTGAAACTAGTTAGGAGTTTTCTTGGCTGTGTGTTTGGGATCATTGTCTTGCTTGAAACTCTAAAAACATGTCATCCTCAAAGTCTTATCAGAATGTCTAGTACATTTTCCGTTCATCCTTCTTTCTGTTCCTTAAACCTCTAGTCACAATCCAGGTAAGATGTAAACTCCAAACTAATATTTTTGAACCTTTGTAGCGCAGATATTTTGTTCAATCCCATGTCCAATAATTGAAGAGTAGTAAGGACAAAGTAGAAGGTTGAAAGTCTAGTGTGTGCATGTGTGTGTGCATATATTTGCCATTTCCCCAGACTCACGACAGTCTTTAACTGACTGTTTGTTTCTGCAGATGGCCCAGAGTTCCAGGAAAGTTTTGTGACTTCAGGAGTCTTCAGTGTTCCTGAGTTGGTCCAGGTCTCGAGAAGTAAGTCTTTTTACCTGAACGAGGCAGTGAAAGTGAACTGTCCAATGTCTCAGCATGGGTCAACAATCTAGAGGGGGGAAAAAATAATGATTAATATATTAAGCCAGAAATTTAGCATGCGACAAGTGTCAACCAACAAATGCCATGGAACCGTCATCATGAGATAAACTGATGGGGTTTACCTAAGGTAGCCATTTCTTTTGGTAAACTTTAGCTCTTATTATTTCATTCTCATTACACTATTCACTTACTTTCTCCCTAGCACTCACTTGTGCTTTAACCTTCCATTACATCCCATTTAGTTATTTAAAATATTTTTTTCTTTTGAGCTCTTCCTTTAACTCCCAAAAATTTGAGTCTTGAACAACACCAATTAAGAAATATTCATATCCAAATCTGAATGTCAGAATGATCCAAAACATCAACAGTTTGGGTGTAGAAGTTTCAGTTTGTGTCTGAAGAGAAGTCTGAAGAGAGTTTTTTGCTTCTATGTGTAGCTCCAGTAGTTACAGGAGTGGGACCTGGTTTCTCTATTGGGGAGCTTCAAGGTCATCTAGCCTATGACCTTAACCAGTCCATCAACCAACCGGTCAGCCTGCGACGGTCACTGGCCAGCACATCCTCCAGCGGGTATGCACACACAAAATATGCATCTGAGTTCACTGATTATATTATATCTGTATAATATAATCAGTTGATTATATGAGTTGATGCTGATTATATTTTAGAGTTAAAAAAGGAAAACTCAGAATCAAGGGACTCATCTAGCAAGTTTATTAGGTTGTGCTTGAAGTCGAAGAAAAAACAGAAGATGGGAACTGAAGTAAAGCAGAATAAACATGTTGAAAACAGGAGAGACCACACCCTGGAGGGGAAACTTAAGAGACAGATAGCTTCTTCTGTGTTTTTATGTTGACTTTTTGTACCTGCCTGGCATATATCATTTCTCATCAGTGATCTAAGGGAGGATTTATGTTGCATTAGTGAAAATATGCAGAGTGAGACATATTAATTAATATATTAGCATTGAAAAGGCCTGTGTTAGTTTTAGATAGGCTTGCATTAGTTTTGAATAGGCTTGCTTTAGTACTGGATAGCGCAGGGGTGGGCAATCCTGGTCCTCAAGGGACGGTCTCCTGCAACTCTTAGATGTCTCCCTGGTCCAACACATTTGAATCCAATTGCTGAATCACCTCCTCAGTGCAGTCAGGTTCTCCAGAGTCCTGCTAACAACCTCATTATTTGACTCAGGTGTGTTGAAGTTGAGATGCATCTAAAAATTGCAGGAGACCGGCCCTTGAGGCCTGGAGTTGCCCACTTGTAGGCCTGGAGTTGCTTGCATCTCATAATTTCTTCTTTAAATAAATTATTTTATGAAGAAAAATGGTTGGCATGCAATATCTATGAGCGACATACATTAGATACATTTATGTGTGTTCTTTTGACAGAGTTTACTGTAATCCAACATGTCTACTCATAAATAGGACATTTTTGATATTAAAAGAGCAATTTTATTTAGCAGGACAACACTTACGCATATTTATTGTTTTTGTTCAAAAATTTTGAACAGTAACTTAAGTCCAGAATGATTATACTAATCTGTTTGTAGGAGTAAACGCCTTAAGTCCGGCTCCATTGAAGAGGATGCTGATAGTCCTGGAGGGGAGTATTACAATTCACCTGCATCTCCTGCTAGCAGCTCCAGGAACTGGACTGATGACTTGGAAGGAGGTAACACAATAAGCAACATCTTATTGGACATAGGTACCAGTTAGCCTGAGAGACAGAGACTTAAATTGTTTTATTTTCTGTCAGCAGAAGAATTTATAATGCCCCTTTTCCACCGGCTCAGCTCGACTCGCTTTCAGAGCTTTTCCACCTGCTTTTTTTCGGGCCTGGCCCTGCTTTTCAGGGCCCTGCTTCGGAGCACGGCCAGCCTGACCAGTCTTGTGTGAAATTCTATTCCCCTGTGAAAATCTGTTCCCCCTGTGTCGGGAGCGCGCATTGCAGCCAGAGAGGCAGATCTGGCGGATCTGACCATTTTCACGGCGCTTCTGATCAATTTCTCAGTAAAAACAACTCATATAATCATGTCAAGGTTGTAACATTCAGTTTAATCAGCTGCTGTTTAAAAAAGAAGCAATAACAAAATCGTAAAATAAAGGTCTTGTGTGGAGGTGTTCTTACGGCTGTTTTGTGTTGTTTTTTCAGCTACCTGAAATAATCTGTTCCCCCTCCATCTCATAGGAACAAATTAATTTACTAGCAAGTCTTTGTTTATTCCTCTCATCATCAACAGTAAGTCCTGAGAATTTGGTAGCATTTGCTCTTTATTTGCCAAAGTTATAAGGGGGGAACCATATATTTTAGCTGATTTAAATAATCTGTTCCCTCCTTAACATGAGAAGAAATTAATTTACCAAGAAGTCTTTAACTGTGCTTATTCCTCTCTTGATGAACAAGAAATCCTTTGATTTTGGTACCATTTGCACATTATTTTCCAGAGTCATTACAGGAGAACCATATAATTTAGCTACCTGAAATAATCTGTTCACCCTCCATAGCACGGGAACAAATTAATTTACTACCAAATTTTTTACTTTTTTCCTCTCTTGATGAATAATAAATCCTGCAACAGATTGTTTCAGGTGGATAAAGAATTTGGTCCCCCCCTCATAACTCTGGCAAACAAAGAGCAAATTTTACGAAAATATCAGGACTTATTGTTGATGATGAGAGAAATAAATATAGTTAAAGACTTGCTGGTAAATTAATTTCTTCCTATGTTAAAAAGGGGGAACAGGCTGTTCCCCCTCTATAACATATAGGCTGCTAAAATAGCATGTGTGTGTGGCTCCCCCTCATAACTTTGGCATAACTTTGGCATAACTTACCAATATCGCAGGATTTATTGTTGATGAAGAGAGGAATAAGAACTGGGGGAGGGAGGGACGGATTACTTCAGGTGGCTAAAATAGTAGGTTTCCCCCTCATAACTTTGGCAAAACACCTGCAAGTGTTTTCAAACTTGCAGGATTTACTGGTGATAAAAAAAGGAATAAGCACAGGTAAAGATTTTGTGAAAAAAAAAAATTAGCTCCCTTTTATGGAGGTGGAATGGATTATTTCAGGCAGCTAAAATGTTTGGTTCCTCTCTTTAACTTTGACTAATAATGAGCAACATTTTCCAAAATCACATGATATGTTGATGATGAGAGGAATGAACACAGTTAAAGACTTGTTGGTAAAATAATTTGTCCCAATATTACGGTGGGGGAACGGGTTGCTAAAATAATTGATTCCCTCAAGTAACCTTGGACAATAACGAGAAAATCTTACCAAAATCTCAGGATTTGTTGTTGATGAAGAGAGGAACAAGCATGGTTAAAGACTTGCTGGTAATATAATTAGCTCCCATGTTATCTGGGGGGAACAGATTATTTCTGGTAGGTAAAATATTTGGTTCCCCCATCATAACTTTGTCAAAATATGATCAAATGTTACCAAATCCACAGGATTTGTTGTTGATGATGAGAAGAATAAACACAGTTAAAGACTTGCAGGTAAATTAATTTGCTCCCATGTTATGAAGGGGGAACAGATTATTTCATCCAGCTAAAATACTTGGTTCCCCCCTCATAACTTTGGCAAAAATTGAGCAAATGTTTTTAAACTTATAGGATTTGTGGTTCATTAAGAGAGGAATAAGCACATTTAAAGACTTGCTAGAAAATTATTTATTTCCATGTTATACAGGGGGAATGGACTATTTCAGGCAGCTGAAATATATGGTTCCCCTCCCTTTAACTTTGGCAAATAAGAGCAAATGCTACCAAAATCACAGGATTTGTTGTTGATGAAGAGAGGAAAAAGCATGGTGAAAGACTTTCTGGTAAATTAATTAGCTCCCATGCTGTAGAGGGGGAACAGATTATTTCAGGTAGCTAAATTATATGGTTCCCCCCTTATGACGTTGGCAAAGAGCAAATGTTTTCAAACTTGCAGGATTTGTTGTTGATGATCAGAGGAATAAGCACAGCTAAATACTTGTTGGTAAATTAATTTGTTGCCGTGTTAAGGGACGGATTATTTCAGGCAGCTAAAATATATGGTTCCCCTCCCTTTATCTTTGGCAAATAATGATCAACTGTTACCAAATCCACAGGATTTGAGATATGAGAAGAATAAACACAGTTAAAGACTTGGATTTAAATCAATTTGTTCCCATTTTATGGAGGTAGAATAGATTATTTCAGGCAGCCAAAATATCTATAACTTTGGGAAATAAAAAGCAACTGTTTCCAAATTCTCAAAGAAATTTCCTTAATCCAGTAATCTGCTATATTTTACATTAGAACAGGATTTACCAGAAAGCCTACACGCTCATCTTTTCAGGAAGTCTTAAATTTTGTGCCCTGCTATCCAGCCAGCTTCCATTCTCTTATATCAGCAATGAAAAATTATAAATACACACAACGTCTTGGAAACCCATGTTTGGTGACTGACTTTGTCAGGCTTAAGTGACAAAAGTTGAAGAAAGACCGATTCTCTTGGCGATATAAAACAACAACACAAAACAGCGTAAGAAGACCTCCACACAAGACCTCATTTATTTATTTATTTTAGGATTTTGTTATTGTTTCTTTTTTAAACAGCAGCTGATTAAACTGAATGTTACAACCATAGGTGTAACTTCCCGAAGGACTGGTGTGGACATGTCCCAACCAACTCTGGCATGAAGGGGACAGTCCCCACCAATATTTGCTGTACCTTTTTTTCTTTATGTGCCTTCATCTATGTAACTCGGCACAGATGCCGAGTTACATACTGTCTTCTAACAATAGATGTTATGTTATTCTAACATATGTTATTGTTAAGATTTAGCAATGAAAAGAAATGTGCATGGTTTTAATATTGAAGTGTATATTTATTTTTTTGTGGTACAGGTTTGTCTCCCCCAGTGAAGAAGGCAGATCTGGACAGCCCTTCTCCACAGGAGGGCTCACCAAGGGTGGGATCCTTCACTCAGCACCACCGGCCAGTTATAGCAGTGCACAGTGGTGTGTAGCACTCAGAGACCCTAACATTCTCTTGCTCTGCTTTACAAACACACCAGGTCTTCCACAGTCATACTGTATGTTACATTTATAAGATATTTTCCTATAGAAATTTCACAAATATTTTATATTCTTTCAGGTCTCTCTAGATGTCCTCATCCCTCCTCATCGCTTCACTTTCCATCTTCTTCCTACTTTGCTCATGGAGCAATCCGATACCCCCCCCATCTGGCCCAGGACCCCTTGAAGGATCTAGTCTCATTGGCTTGTGACCCTGCAAATCAGTCCCCCAGCTCTGTAAGTTCCTCTGCATCTATAATCCAAATATATCATTTTGAGGCACTTCACAAAAAGTAATTTCAAGTTAGTGAACAATTGGGTGAACTGTCACAAAGAGCAGTACACAGAACAAAATGAAACCTTGTTATGGAGGAAAGAAAAAAATCTTTTTGCCATCTATTGGTGGCAGCATCTTGGAGGCTGTCGGTAGAACCATGGAGGCCGGCAGCAGAAACCTGGGGTCCACCAGCAGAACCCTGGGGGCCGGCAGCAGAAGACTATAGGCTGGCAGCAGAACGCTGAAGCCCAACAGCAGAACCCTTGAAGGAGCTGCAGGATTGTAGGGCTGTGAGGTGAAGAGGACCAAGCTGAAACGGGAAGACGAGGAATCATTGTCCTGACTTCTGAGGAATGACTTGATTCAGCCTGCCCTTCCAGAATGGCAGTGGAGGTATCGCAACGTCAGTGACATCTGTGCTTGGAGGAGGAAGAGGAAACAGGAGGCACTGAGACAGGAAGTGCAGAAGATGAGAAAGCATGGGTGAGGATTTAAATGTCTGGAGCAGAAGGGATTTATGCCACCTGCTGTTCCCACTGCACCTCCTCCTAGAAGTTAATTTGTATAACATATTTCAGCAACAAGTCAGTTCAAAGTGTTTTAACAACATACAGTCACCAATTGTGAAACCAGTTATGTTACATTTTGTCAAGTGCCATCATCAAAATCATCATTACACATCAAATATATTGGTCAATATTCCAGTGATTGTGATTCAAAAGCAACTCTAATGGTGTGTTCACATCAAACGCGTTTGTCTTATTTACATTCAAAGTCTATGTGGAGGCGCATTGATGGCCCGTTGCAGTGCATTTGGAGCGTCCGATACATCCAACAAATAGGCCAACAACGAAAAACAATGGCTAGCACTATTCTGACACACCTCCACATAGACTTTGAATGTAAACCAGACACGCGAAACGCGTTTGGTGTGAATGCACTATAAACAGTTAGCTTTTTAGCACTGATTTCAAGGAACTCAATGTTTCAGCTGTTTTGCTGTCCTCCAGCTTCACAAAGCCCAGAGAATGAAGCAGAGGTCTCCAGCCACACAGCAAATACAGTCCATTGAAACTTTTATGGGAGCAGGGTTTAACCATCGTCACATCTGTTAATCAGATTGATCCAGAAGATTGATTTCAAAAAACAATAAATCAGCCTAAAGAAGGTCTGGAATGTGACCTGAACATGTCCAACATGTGAGCATTATGGATCATGATTTTCAGGAAATGGAGCGCTCCACACGCTCCATCTTCTTTGGGAATGGAATAAAAGTTAAGAGGATGGGGTGCTTCACGTTCCTCTGGAGCCCAAACATGTGTTGACCTTTCATGGTCCGCACACACCTCCCCCCAAGAAGTGAAAGCACAGCAAGCACTTGACTTCCTCAGGGAGCTCCCCCAGCTGCTGCTGACCAGTGTGGGACAGCAGACCGTGAGGACAGGTCCACTCTTCCCCTTTCAGACATTTATGCTGGCTGACTGCAGTGAAGAGCCAGTTGAATCATTAGAGAGCCTTCTCACCATGGATGTTGACTCTTCTCCATCTCCTCTGGTAGACGCTACAGGATACATTCATATGCTACCATTAAAAGTTCCATCCTTAGCTGTTTTTGAAAACACACTTGTTTAGGGATTATTAGATGAAATTATCTGTGTAGACAAAGTCGAGTTCCTATATTATTTTTTAAAAGTATACAAAAAATCCCCAAAAAGTTATCTGAAATATGAAAAATGTTAGATTAGTATCTTGAATTCATTTTCACTGCATGTAGCGTTAAAATGCTGCTTACATTTCTATGTGTCGCCTGTTACTATTTAAAACCAGTGTTTTTCTGTCTCTTTACCAAAAGATAATTATACCACTCATCTGTTTTGCAGCTGAATGGCAGCACTCAGGTTAAAGTGCCCAGCCATTATATCTCCTCCCAGATGTTAGCGCCCCCAGGACCAGCATCCTCCCTCCCCAGACCAGCAGTTCCCACAGAGTCCAAAGCTTCTACCTCTGCCTCTGATGGGGGGGCAAATTCCCCTACATCACCCTGTAAGTTTCCTCACAACTATTTCTATAATACATGTCTACACAGAATGCATCTGTTTACATGCTTAGTTTTAATCTGCATGAACTACAAGGTTTAGGAGCAGCAATAACAGACTCATGGTCATAAGAGCTGTTATCTGACCTTGAGTAATTTTATTTGTTTTCTGTTGTATGAAGCAGGCTCTGATTTATAGTTAGAACCACGCAGACTAATATGAACTCTGCTGAGCCACAATGGACTGACATGGGACAGAAACAAAGATGTGTGAAAACATAACCACCTACCATTAACATGATAGGAGTATAACTTGATGTTATTTTTTTATTTTACTGTATGCGATTCTAACCAAATACCAAATTTTCCCTTAATTATTCTTTCAGCAATTTAACTTTCAGTCTGGAAAAATAAACTCAACCACAGAACCTCTTCTGCTTCACACATTTACAAGATGTTTTCCCTGCCTTTCCTTAATGATAGAAAAACATTTTATTGGTAATAACACTAACATGAGAGTGTATAATTCCTTCAGCATACTCTGCTCCTGGGACCCCACCTGCCAGCCGGTCTTCCTTCGTTGGAGTCAACCCCCGAGACCCTGGGGGGCTGTACCAAGCCCAGGTCAGTACAGCTGTTTCTGCAACCTTGGAATCAGGTTATGGCCTAAATTACTGATATAAAATAAATTATAAGATTCCAGTGGTAAACCTGATGCTAGCAACATCAGCAGAAAATGATTGAATGTCTTCACCTAACAAACGATGAAGACGTTGGTTGGTGTTCTACTGAATAGAAACCTTGACTGGTGGATAGCACTGCCTTCCAGGCTTCAGGCTGCAGAAGGCTGAAGCCTGAGAAATGGCTCAAGTAAAACCTCTTGATTTATTCTGCATTTCATTTAAGAACTATAAAATGCATTGTCAGCTGAATTATTTGGATTTTGAAAGAACAAATATTTTTCTTTCTTTGAATTTGTTACTTTTGACTTTAGTTTGCAATTTTGTAGTATATACAAAAATACCTATCCATCCATTATCCTACACGCTTATCCCGGGTGGGGTATTGAGGGGGGCTAGTGCCTATCTCCAGCGGTCAACGGGTGAGCGATGGGGTCACCCTGGACAGGTCACCAGTCCATCGCAGGTCAAAATGCAATAATACTCTGAAAGAAAACATTTCAGTTCAGAGCAAGCATGTAGTGACAGTAATGCCTACCACTCTCTAGGTTGGAACTTGTAATAGAAATGTAATCATGTTTTTAGTCAGCTGAATAAAGGCAGAGAAGTAAGAGTACACCAAATTTACTCTAGTCTTCATCTAAGTGGAATGTTCTGCTTCTGAAGGAAATCCCTGCTCAGGTCTGATCCGATTCCTTCTTGTTTATATCCTGACTCTTCTTTGTTTCTCTTCCAGTCTTGGTATCTGGGCAACTAAGCGAACTTTGGCAGAAAGCTGATGAAGCTGACAGCTGAAGCTGACCTGGAGGAAATAATCCCATCAAGACACTATCAGAGCAGAAAATATGTCCAGTTTTCTAGGAATGCCACACCCTGGTCTCATGCATACATAAATATATATGACCATGTATTTATGTATGCTTCTCACAGGAGAGGACCTAGATGAAAGGTGGATGCTGCTCAGCCATGTAGCGGTGCCTGATTGAACTCTGCTATATAATACTACATAACTGTCATAACTGACAGCTTCTGGGATTTTCACATGAAGGCTATGGGTTGGTGCAGACGTCAGATTGGTTTCTAAAGAACTACGCATCAACTCTGCAGGTTCTGGGAAGCTTGTAACCCCACTGCATCCCAAGGATGGACCCTGTTGTCCCAGGATACATGTCAGCCTTTATTCCAGGCTGTCTGCTTTAAGTCCTGCTGGAGGCCTGTATACATCGCAGCTCCAACGACTGGAACCTCCGGTCCTCCTGCCTTCATCAATGCAGGTGCTGCTTTTAATATATGCAAACAAGCCTCCATTCATTTCCAGACTGACTAGAATGTTTCTATGTATGTTTGTTTGCACTTTTTAGTCATTATTGAGATGAGCTGAGTTTGTTTTTCATTCCCATCCATCTTGAGACAAAAGCTTTCTTTTTTTTGACAATCATCAAGCTGAAGCTTTTAGGTTGCATTGCAAAAATATTTAATATGATTTTAAGATGAAAATAAGGAGTGAAATAAGATTTATCTTCTTGCCTTGTTCAACACAACACAAGTACTTTTAGAGATTGAGAGGAAAAGCTAGTAAACTTCTGTGGATGTTTGGGATAACATGCTGGAGATGTCTGTTCCTATGGAGACACGGGTTTCTGCCTGTGAGTCAGGACCTGTTGACATGCAGCCATGTTTCTGGTTAATGAAGGTGATCAGTGTAGAAAGCAATGCAGCAGCCTGCGGATGCTTACCTGTTTGTGTTTGTGCGTTCTCTTTCCTGCTCTGTTCTGAGGAAATGTTATGTTCATGTGTCTGTGAAAGCCAACAGTGCACTATGGTCATATTGACCTCCCTTTTTTTGAGAAAGAATTGGTAGTGTGGAGTATTGTTAAGCCTGACTACTCTAAAGTGTTTGTGGTGTGCAGGAGCTCTACATACTGACCTGAGGAGAGGAGGATGGTGTCTCTTTGACTTCTAGAAAGAGTATTGGGCTCTGTTAGGTTCTGGAATGGCCAACCTCAACCCTATGTGCACTGAATGTTCACTGTATGGGACCTCAGGTTGAGTTTCAGACCAGAGCTGACATCAGCAGTGGTGTAAGGAGGCAAGCCAGGACCAGGTTTTAAAGGCAGACATCGTTTTTCATGATGCTAAAAGTCTGGGGTCAGCTGTAAAATAATGCTTTAGTCAATTATTATTATTATTATTATTATTATTATTATTATTATTATTATTATTATTTCTAAATCGTGCTGCATAGAACAGCTTCTGGTATCAGTGTTTAATTTCATCAGAGTAATCCCCTGCTGTGTTTATGTAAAGGAGACTCAAATCCACATTCTTATAATGAAACTGAATCAAAGCAGTATTCTCATTATCTCTACTTCTACACTCTTTTAGTACATAACTCGGTAACACTTTATTTGAAGGGGGTGAATAAGACTGTCATGACACTGTCATAAACATGACATAACACCTGTCATAAACATGAATAAGCCTTCATGAATATTTATGACTGTTGTCATAAAGCGTCATTCGGTAAATTATGACACTTTTAATACAAAGTTGACATTATTCAAAATGTCTTTGTTATGACAACTTGACATTAACCAAGAAATCATTACTGTTTAAACTTTACCTTTAATAACATAAAGTTACCTATTTTTTAAAGTGCAATCAATAATACTTTTATAACAAATTTATATCAGCAATGATTTCTTGGTTAATGTTAAGTTGTCATAACAAAGACATTTTGAATAATGCCAACTTTGTATTAAAAGTGTCATAATTTACCGAATCACGTTTTATGACAACAGTCATAAATATTCGTGAAGGCTTATTCATGTTCATGACAGGTGTTATGTCATGTTTATGACAGTGTCATGTCAGTCTTATTCACCCCCCTTCAAATAAAGTGTTACCCATAACTCCGCATCACGTTTTCATTTGTTGCTATGGCGATCAAAACACTAAACATAAATGAACAAAGAAATACTTGTCCAGGACAAATAGTACAGACCCATTCAATAAATTAGAATATTTTCGAAAAGTCCATTTGTTTCACGAACTTTATCTGTAAGTGAAACACATTGTATAGATTAGTAACACACAGACGGATGTTTGAAAGCCCTTATTTCCTTTAGTAATGATAATTATCCACTTACATTTAATGAAAATATGACAATTAAAATAAATAAGATAAAATAAACATTTTAATACAGAAATGTTGCCTTATAGTGAAAGTATGTTTAATACTTGCTGAAAGGTTATTTTCAAAAGTTACTTTTGATCTGACAAATGAGCCTCATCGGAACACATACTACAAGTTATTTAACATGATTAGACATTTGAGCAAACAAAAACTTGTAAAATTAAGAGTTTACCTAAATGTGTCCATCGGATGGTGGTGGGTTCTAGTAGAACTGAAAAGCACACCAAATGTTTCTGTTTGTAAAAGCCTCCTCAGACTTAGGCTTGGTTCTCAATATTTTGCTCATCATTTGTGTGACATAGAATGTCCTGCAGGTTGTGGTCTGAAGTTTAAACATGGTGTTATCTGTCTTGTCCTAGGCAGAAGTCAGACATCTGGTGGAAACCAGTAATACACAAGCCTGGGCCCCATAGCAACACTGGATCATAAAGGGTCTGAACATCTGGAATACAGCAAAGTTACATTCAGTAACTTTGCTGTTCTATACTCCATGATGCAGCAGTTTTATTTCCCACCTTTAACATCTACAAACAAACTAAATTTTGTTATACCAGTGCACTTTATCTGATTGGAGCTGTTGTTTATCAGCTCATTTCATCTAGTCACTTTCAGTACGAGCTACTTAGTAGTGCTTTTTGTCCAAACCTTGCATGTTTTAATGCTAAAAAGTTATTTTGTACTTGATTTGACAACCCATAATTTCAAATAATCTTCTTTATCAGGATTGTCAAACTCCACTCCTCAAGTGGTTTGTGTTCTGGATGTTTAATGATCATGAGGGATGACTGGTGGGCCTCTGTAGAGTTGGATTACATACTGAGGTAGAGATTCAGCCAGCTGTGTTACAGCAGGCTCATATCTAACACAACACTTCTCTTAGCAAAGAGCTGGACACCTTCGTTCTGTAATACACTCCTAGTCTGTGTCCAAAGTGTGTCCTGTTGGCCATTTGCAGCCATCAGAATGAATTTACAACCTCCACTGAAGGATGGTACCAATCATTTGGTGCGTATTAAATACAGAACAGACAACCAAGGCCTTTCTCAGAGCACATGCAGTCTAGTTAAAGTCTTAAAATGGAAAAATACAAAGCATTCATCCTTTACAAACTGTGTTTTGGTGCTTTAATTGAAATATCAAAGGAAATAAAACCACAAACATTCAGTAACTTTTTGTCAAAGAATGTGGTGCAGCTGTTAATCTTAAATACAGCAAGGTTTGTCCACGAAAGTGTGACCCATATTCAGTTATGAGATTCAGAATTAAATTTTGTTCAAGAAAAGATTTTGCCTAGAAAATCTAGAATGTATTATTATTTCTGTTTCGATAAGGAGAACATACAAACCCCCATCATGTTTAGCATAGTCAATGATTTACATATCGCTGTTCTAGAAAAGTATGGCTAGCTTTTTCATCTTATTTAAATATTCGGTGTTTATTCTATTGTTGTACAGGTAATAGGATTAAAAAATAATCACCGTTTTAGATCTAATCTAATTTTTGGGCCTTCAGGCGCTTTAAACCTGATGATGGCTTGCATGGCAATAAGTTAGGACACTTCTAGTCCATGTCACCATGGAAATGTGGCTCTCACTGTAATATTTGTCTGGTTTGATCAGGGTTCAGATTCTGTCATATTTCAGAAGTGTGACCCAGTTGGGGCCCAGAACCACAATCAACAAACAGGCCATACAAAAATATTATACAGTAAATGATATGCCAGATTGGATATTATTTCTGTGAACTTTTTTTTTCATATTTTCAAAATACTAACTTACCAGGAGAAATCCAGACGCGTTGCAAGGTTTATAGTCAGAAAATGGAAGCAAGTCGGGATGAAAATCATAACTGGTTAAAATATGGATTTGAGTGACCTGATCTGACTTTAAATCTTCTATATTTACTTATTAAATATTGCTTTTACTTTATTCATGTTGATAACATTACAAAATGTGATCCAGATCTATGTTTGGTGGGGGTTTTTTTTGTATATTTTGATGGTTCATCATGTGAGGTGAAGTTGTGATAAAATTTCAGCGGTTATATTATACAAACAATTGCGATGCAATATTTAGTTTTTCTATTGACTAGTCTCAAGCTTTAACAAGCAGCGTGAAACTGATTTGCCTCCTGCTGAGTTGTGCTTTTACCAAAATGTAGCCATCAAGTGTTGGAAGCCACTATGTGCAGATGCAAGACAGTGTCCACTACTTTCTCTTGCATGTCAAAGTCTCCATATGGATCTTGTCAGGTGCTACATGTAGAGAAAATCCATCAAATTTATTCTCACAATGATTCTTCCCTCCACGCACAAGTTTGGACTTCCTACCAACTTCAATCTCAAAAGAAAGCCACACAAGAGTCACTTCCTTTCCCTTTGGTGGGGCTCTCGCCTGTTCTGCATGGTGCTGGCACTACTGCTGTGCTGACCAGAGGAATGCATGGCCTTGCTTAATATATCCCAACTTCTATCCTGCTTTACCTTGCAGTACTCTGGAGCAGCTGATGGAGAGCCTCTCTGTGTCTTTCTGTTTTTACTACAGCACTGCTTTTTTGCACGATAGTTCATAAAACACATTGTGTGCCTTGCCTATACATAGGAAGCAGTAAAACATTGATGAAAGCTGAGATGCAGCAGGCAGCACTTTTAAAGGTGCATGAGGGAGTTTCTTGTCATTCTGCAGGGTTGCAGAAGTTTTAGGTTGACCAACTGTCGATTTTCCACATTTAGGTTGTGACTGTATTCTCAGAGCTTGGATGGCAAATCTGATGTCAAAGTTTCTGTATGTTTTCCTAAGAAAGATTGCTCCAGACAGAGTCTGCTACTTTGTGGCTCCTTCAGATTTATAAGCAGCTCTCTGAGTCTTCAGCACTGATTGGTCATAATTGATTCATATTGTGGTTAGACCATGGAACACCTCCATCAGTGGAGTGAACTTCCAAAAGTGTGACCAAGTCATGGAATGTTCAGGTTCATTCCCCATCACACTGGTGCATATTTATATCAGGAGTGAATTAATTACCCTGTGTGAAGGAAATGGCTTTCCACCATTGTCTCTGTGTATATCTGATGCCGTAGTGTAGATTATAGGATTTCCAGTTAAAACTGGATCCACTAATTAATGGCTAGAATCAGCGTAGAGTGAGTACTGCAATCTAGAACGCAATATAGCCCACACGTAGGTGCCGCTGAAATGTATGTAAACACTATGCAATGACCTGATAATAACCTTATACCATACGAGTATGCTAAGTTATGCAGACACTCAATCTGCACTGATGAAGAGTCTCTCATCTTGCTTTCTACAAAACTGTGTGATGCCAGCTGTAGTCTGAAAACGATTTAACAGCGTTAGATATTGAGCTGCTTACCACAGCAGGCTGAAATCAAAAGACAACTGGATTTTCACTCACTTTTCTCTATAAAGCTCAACTGCAAGCCTTCAAAATTGACAAAGGCTACATTCAGACAATAGGTCTTGATCTCCAATGTTTTTCTGTGTGGACGTTTCTATTACTAATTAAATGCAACCGCAATCAGACTTCTTAGTTTATAAGCCCCAAAGCAACCCGCATGCGCAAAAGAAGAACGTGGACGTCACACAGCAGCGCTCTGTTTACGGCAGTAATAATAGCCGCTGCTGTCTATGGATGAATTTTAAAGTGCTGAAAGCATGGTCACCAGATCATCACCAGACGAAGGAAGCTGATGAGAAGAAAGTCCAGCTAACAACTACGGCCTTTAGTAGACTGCAGCTTCTAGAGTGAAGTCTGTTTGGATGTTGAGTCGGACCAGGAGTGGTGGGATTGAGAAGTGATGCTTCACTGACTCAGACTACGTTCAGCATTTCATAATTATAATTTTCAACTGTTGTTTACATTTGGATTTACCATGTCTGGCTTCTTCTTGTGCAGAATTATTATGCATATCTCTTGTTGATGTATAAAATTACATGACCATTCACACTGCAGACACTTTGAAAGCTATTGGATACAATTTAGCAGTGGCGCAACTGCACATTATTCAGGTGGATGCGAAAACAACACCCCCCCCACCCCGAAGAAAGGAACGTCAGCGTAGAAAACATAGGCTCGGTCTCCCCCCCCCCTCTCGAGGCGAGGATACGTTAAGGGTGAAACTCGCGCTAGATTTACCTCATTATGTGCGTGAGGTGAAGGAGCGTAAGGCGCGCTGA